TTTTTTTTTTTGCTATAAAGGCCACCAGATAAGCGCGGTTCGACGTTGTGAAGGTTTCCTGAAGCCTGCGAGAAGGAAGCAATTTTCACTTCTCTCGCAGGCTCTCTTTCTAACCCAACTCCCTTTGGGTGATTTCCAAAGACTTAAATAAAACTTAATTGGGAACTTTATGGAGATAACGTAAGTTCGGTTTCTTATGATGCTGCGCCTAGTTCAATATGATCTCTCATTTTTCAGTGCTCTTGGTGGGGAAGAGAAGCCCTGTAAACTGCTTCCAGAACAGAGGCTTAGTACAACACTCTGACTCATTTATACTGCCTGACGTAGCAAAAAAGTAGAAAAACCGTGAATAGTTCACTTGTGATCGCTTTCCAAATTCTCTGCTCAAAAGCCAGGTTTGTTCAGGTCGTGCTTTACAAAGGTTGCTGGCTGAGAGTTAGATAAACGACTTCTTAGTGAAGAAATCTCAAGTAATTTCTTCTTGCTAGTAAGGTTTTGGCAGTGATTACATATGTAGTGTTCAGCACTGTACCTCATGCTTTATTGTGACCTAGACTGTTTTCTAGCTTAAGGAAACTTTATTTGCTGAAAGTGCTGTGACTCTTAGAACCGCAAACAATTCGAAATAAGAACTTCTTTAATAAATGAAGCTGTTCTTGATGCATGTTCATGTATGCTGAGATCACCTGCGGTTGCACTTGATAGCAGTATTGTACTCTGTTTCTTGCGACATGCAATAAAAAATACTAAGTTCACGAAGAGTTTAAACCCTTTGCTTTCTCCTTTGTTGCATGCTTTCTTCTTGAGAAGAAAAAAAGTGTTGCAACGTTGTAATTAAGAAATTCCTTACTCTAAAAATCAAAAATACTTTTTTTTGCAGGCAGAAGTAGCGATGTTGAAGGGATAAGGTGATGAAAATTCTGCCTGCTTTGTAAATAATTGTCTAAACCTTTCCTCCAAATAAGTTGCTTGCCGAAGTTGCAATGCAAGGCACAGTGAATTTAGAAGAGTGAGGCTTATGTTGGCATCTTCCTGAACTTTGTTCCAGCAGTTTGAAATTTACAATAAAATGGATACAACTTAGCCATTTTAGTCTGTATATTAGAAGTTATGATCAAATATGAGTTTTTCCCTCTCTAGGGTTGGGTGATATGAAAAGTCAGAATCTGTTTTAGCTCCCCTGGTGTTGTCAGAACATGCTTTCATACGTGCTGTGATCAGAATCTCAGGAATGTGAAACTCTATGGACAGCCCGTACTGGGTCAGAGCAAAATTCCACCTCGCAGGCAGAAGGATTTACCTAGGCGAGAGCCTAAAATCAGGGCTAATGTATATTAGAAGGTTATTTCCCTGAAGTTCTAACATTTCGCAGTTCTGGAACTTCCTGAGCTATATATGGTTTGTTTGTGCTTAGATATCCTCAGTGAGTTTTCCTTCCATGAACTTGATATCATGTAAACTTCTAGCATCCGTCATGTACGACAGCAAGGAGCTTCACAGCTTGACCACCCGTTGGTTGAATAACTATTTCCTGACGTTAACTTTGAACCTGGCTACGACTACCTTCTTACGGTGCCCCTTTGCTCTTATGTTGGAAGAGGCAATGAGTAAATGATCCCTACCTCCTTGCCATTGGTGACCTCTGTTTTATCTTTATATCTCCATTCCCGTTGTCATCTCTCTTCTTTGATAGTCATTCTTATGAGATCATGATTCTCATAAGACATAAGATGTTAAGGAAGAAATTGCAAATCTCAATTTTATTTAAATATATTACTGTCGAATGGGGATTGTGAATACTATGCAGATGAAATTGCTTATTTTTGCTCAATAATTTGTTATGCTAATATTACGTTTATAAAAATATTGCAATAATGTTAATAAATGATTTATAGAAAGACGTTAGTATTACAGTATGTGACCCTTAGAATGTTTGACGTAATTGTCAAATCTGCTTAGCAGTGAGGCAGCTAAAGTAAGGCCAGGAAGCTAAATATCGCTTTACTTTCTTGTCTTCAAAGAACAATCCTACAGCAGCCTAATGCAAAATGAATCAAGGAGTTCTTATGTATGTTTTCAACAGCTGATCACTTCTCAAGCTTTCATTTAAAGCTCTTGATGGGTATGCTTAAAAGTTACCGCCAGTTTCGCTGAACTGTGTAAAACCTTTGTAGTTTGTTATTGCACAATTTGCTCCATCAGGCTGTAGCTGCTACATACTTCTGTACGTGCTGCTTGCCCATTTAACAGGAAGAGTTCCTTTAGATTTCCTGCTTAAAAAATTACCAAGCCAAGTCAGAAGCTTCACTACCCTGTATGGAAATTTGTTTTCATTTCTCTGTCAGCTCTCCTGTTTACGGAGCTGTTCGACCTCTTGAGCTGCTGAATTTGCTAGCTCTTCCCAAGGCCACTTGAATGCCTACGATTTGTAAGTTTTGCCAGGAAGAGCCATGTGATTAAGCTGAGGACTGACTTCTACTTAGGAAAATCATTGAGCAGAAATGAAGGCAGTCAGTAGAGCATATCGTTATGGGAACATGTTTGTGCTGTTTGCCCAAATGCCATCAAAGTTGTTCTTGGCTGTTTATGTTTCTGAACTTGATTTTCTAGACTGTATTTTCTGAATATGTTAATAAGTATGCATTGTGGTCAAGCAAGCACCGGCTTGCTTTTAAAATTCTATAGGGTGTATATATACTTTAGCAAAACACTGGAGCTGAATGGGCTGTTCTTTTAAAGAACAGTATTATGTGAATGAAGGGGTGTGGGTGAGTATGGGGAGAGAACAGTCGGACTTACTGTAGAAAAAATACAGGCAGAACAGCCTGACAGCAGCCTAACTTATAGAAAAAGAAGTGAATTCAAGGAAGAAGGTCACAGAGCAAGAGATGCGTTTGATATAATTATTGTTGCAAACATTTGCTTCCTATTACATCATATTTATCCACTTTTACTACCATGATCAAATTGACAAAGTAGAATCATTTATTGCCTGTATTCAGAAAATGTTATTTAGGTTTTTCTGTTTCTTTTTGCTGGCCATTGCAGTTTTAATGCACTGAGAAAAGAGGCTGCTAAAGTATGAAGTTTGTATGATAACTGTCTCAAGAAATCACTTCTTTAAATTGCAGAACATGTAAGCTTTTCAAAACATGGTAATGCAAAAAAAAAAAGTTGCTATAGCAACTGTGTAATAAAAGTGTGCATCTTCACAAATGCTGTAATCAAAACAATAAATTTGAAACTTCGTTTATCCAAAGGACTAAGCAATTGGTGCATTAATTGATTTGCATGGGTAGTACGTAGTTGGCCCTGAGGAAGTTCTTAAAACATCTAAAAGATGAAATGACCTGAGGGGTTTTTACTTGGCTTTTTCCTAAACTTAGCGCACTGAACTGGAGTGGTTGATGGAATAGGCCTGTCTTATGTAGTAAGCCAAGCAGTTGGCATAACGTATAAAGTATGTTTGGATTAATGAACTTCTCACGTGACTAGAAACTTACCAAAAAATCTTTTAAGATTCAGGCAAATGGAATATGTTTGAAATGTGTTCTGGGTCTTGATGCCTGCCTGTGTTACAGTTCCAAAGTACATTGGCTCTGAAGTGAGAAAGGACGGTGCGTAAACCTCCTCCTAGTGGAGAACTGGCACCTTTTAGTTAAGCATTATGCTTTAGAGAGAACAGGAGACCAGAAAACCGGCTTCAGAAGTTGGAAGAAAATCTGTTTAGAAAGAAAGCCGTTTGCAAGAGGGGAAGAGTATTCTTCACTCCTTCACGCTTAGCACGGAAAGTGTTTCAGAGTGAAGAAAATGAACCAATATGTGCGTAGTTCTTCTGCCAACTGCAGTAGAGTAATTGCTTTGGAAACTTGAGCTGAGGAGAAAGTAGCTTAACCATTTTGTTTGTATGGAGCCGTGTGGAAAGAGCAGATGTATTTACTGTCATAATAATAATCATGTACTGTCTCAAAGGGTCGGTAGCAGTTCTGGGAGCCAGGGCAGCAGTCCCAGTGATACTCCAGTTTTATGAAAGGCTGCAGTTTACCCGTCAGGACAGTGCAACTAATCTGCAGCTCTTTGAAGGTCACTTGGATTTAGGCTGGAAGTGGGGCACTGTTGGCAGCCCCTGGAGGAAGAATGTGAATGCGTATTGCATATATGAAATACAGTGGTCTCTATGAGCAGTAAATGCAACCTATTTTTAAGTGTCAGTTTCACTCTCTGTGCACCATGTGTGTTGTAAAAGAGTTGGCTATATGAATTTAATGGCCGGATGGATTCTGCCCCTGTAGCTTGATACAAAGTTCATAGGCTATGCGTTCTTTTGGAGTGGGAGGTTTCTTGTCAGTTGTTATGGTTTCAAGAAGAATGCTAAGAAATTCTGTTTAAATGAACCCTTCAGAATTTTAGCCTGAGCATGAGGTACGTAGAGACAAGTAAAGTACTGCAGTTTTTGCAGTAAGTAATTTCACTTTCAGGAGGGGTTTGTGAAGCGAACACTTGCACACAAACTGCTTAAGAAAAGGCTTTTCGTGTTTGACGTTTTCTAGAAGCTGAAATTAAGTTGCCATTGTCCTGCTTGCTCAGGACAATGCAGGGGGGAGAGATGGATCATCTGCAAGAGAAGATTAATAACTTTAATTAAAAGAGCCTAACTTATAGCAGGACTGAGAGTGTGTGTGTGTGTGTGTATATATATGAGTGTGTAACGAGGAATTTTTTTTATAATCTTGTCTATTCTTTCTTTTTAACCAGTTACCGCTTGGTCCAAGACAACTGATATAAATTTATCCAATTCCTTAAATGGTTTGAGCTGGATGGGAATTCTGGATGCAAGAGTGGGCAGTGGTATCCAGAGTCTTCAAAACTTCAATTCAAGGGCCCCAAGATCTCTCTCATTGCCTGAGTATGGGCCTAGCCAACACTCCAGTGCTTTAGAAGATTGTCATAGCCTTAAATCTGTGGATTCTGGTATTCCAACTCTAGAAATAGGAAATCCAGAGCCTGTTCATTGCCGCGTGTTAAATGTGAAGAGAAAGCAGTCGGAACCTGAAATTGTGCCTGACAGAGCTTTTCAGAGTGCATGCGCACTGCCATCTTATGTGCCTCCACGTTCTCTGACTTCCGAACACGACCACCCTGTGCGAAAATCCTCAACTTTTCCAAGAACTGGGTATGACACCGTCAAACTTTATAGTCCAACTGCCAAAGCTCTGAATCGAAGTGATGATATCTCAGTCTGCAGTGTTTCTAGTCTTAGCACAGAACTGTCAACAACTTTATCAGTTAGCAATGAAGACATTTTGGACTTTGTGGTCACAAGCAGTTCAAGTGCAATTGTGACTCTCGAGACTGATGAAGCGCACTTCTCAGATGTTACCCTGAATTCTACTAAAGAGACCAATGATCAAAGCCAGCAGGAGCGTTGTCAAGAGACAGATGTGGACAGTAAACCAAAAATATTGGGACCTTTTACTAACTTCTTTGCCAGGTAATATTTCTGTAAAATATGTTTTAACAATGAGTAAATAAGACCGTAGGAGAAAGATGTTGTATGGTAGTTCACTCTGAAAGAAATAATAGCTTGCTATTGTAATTTGAGCTGATATGAACATAGTTTGTTTTGAGTAAGTGGGCAAATATTGCTAGGGACTAAGACTTTAAGTCCTACTCTGTATTATCTGTAGCATATATGGAAACATCTTAATTCTCAAAACTTCCCCTCTGCATTAGCATAGAAGGAATCCTGGACAAGGGTTGTCTTCAGTGCTATGTTTTGTCATTTTGGCCACAATCCTTAATCTTTAAGTAGGTAAATATAGGTAGAATATTTACCTATATTGAAGAGTTTTGACACCTAAGAATTAAGAAGTGATCTAGCAGCGCTGGAGTAAATGCAAACATGTTACATGTACGATACAAATGCTTGTTAAACGCTTAGGTGACTACTCTGATTTTTCCAGATCTTAGTGATAATTTTGTTAATACTTTGCTTCCTTGATTTTTGTATGGTACTGGAACACGGAATTTTGGTGCTCTGTTGTTGAAATGAAAACATTTTGCCACTCAGAGCAGTTACGTGACCTCTTGTAATCGTAGCTCTTGGATGAATGGTAATGTGTTTTAGATGCAGATACCAATTAGATAAATGGAAGAGAATTCATCTTGTAATGAATGTTGCAAATGAGGAAGAGAATTCATCTACCTTTTTTTATTCATTTAAGGCCTTGCTAATGCTTCTTACTTTTAGGTTATAATGTCTAAAGTATTGTATAGTTCCAAGAAAAGGATCTAAAAATAAACTAAAATGTCAAGCAGCATTGGCCATAGTTAACCTGTTTTGTGCAGGTGGTTACTTTGACTAAGCTCTTTTTTCCTCTTGTAAATTTTTCTTTGCACAAGATGAACGTGCTAAACATGCTAATTAAAAATACCTAGGTAAGTGGCAAACGTTATTCTTTGAAATGCTGCCTGATTTGCAAAGCTAAAGCGAAGCTGCTGCTTTAGATCTTCTAAACTGGCTCAGGCCTTGATTGGATTTTATTTTTTTTTTTTTTTTTTTGGTAATTCTTAGGTTGAAGTTGCAGTAGAAAGTACTGTGCGGTGGACTTGACTCATCAGTCATGTTTAAGCTGTTAAAGCTTTTGTGGCCCTCTGTCTATTTGTTGTCGTGGAACCAGACCTAATTCTGAAGCAGGAGGCTTCTTCGCTCTTCACAGCCTGCAGAACATGAACTTTTATTACCTGTTCTGCTAGCACAACCGTTAACTCAGGCAAACGCTGTCTTTCGGCCTGGAGAGAGCACAGTGGAACAGGCACGTTAAGACCCTGTGCAGAGTAGAATAATTAACTGCTGCTCAACTTTTCCCATCCGACAAAATAAAAGCATCTGTGCATAGTCTCTAGAAGTTTTGCCAGTGTTACAGAAACTGAAGTGCTTAAGAGACTAAGCTTTTTAGCGTCAATATTTCCAGGTGCTTTGGATTCAGTTCAGACTGGGTTGTCAGCTTTAGTGTTCAAACTGCTCTGTCTATAGCCTAGCCTTTAACATCTTTCCCTTTAGCATCCACTTTCTGATCCCTGCTTTGAAAACAATAGAGCTACTCACTTTTTGTCTCTCCTCCTCTTCCACGTACCGGTACTCCATCTGTCCATTCTCTCATCTCATGCAAACTGGGTGTGAGTTTCACAGGAATTAAACAAGCAGAGAGCTCTTGAATTTCTTTCTGTTCCACGGGGAATACTGTATGCTACTTGAGCTGTGGATGTTGTTGAGGATCAAAACGTGCTGTTGCTTGTCTTGTTGATACTTGAAATCTGCTCTTCATGTGGTTGCGTTTGCTTCCTCTATTGTTCCTATACAGTCCCTTTTTCTTTTGAGATCCTGTGGCTTTACTGTGCTGCTCAGAGTCCCAGGGCTAAACGAACAGTTCAGAAATGAGTTTGGGCCCTGCAGTGTTCTGTTTGAAGGTTACTGACTTCTAAGGGCGTTCCCACCCAGCTAGACCTGACTTGGGTGTCCAGATTTTGTGTACAGTGTTGGAAGAGAGCAAGGTGTTTGGAATAGCATCTTCGAAAGCCGGGGAGCTTCTTAAAGCAGCTTGTAGAAAGTGCTGTGGTGACAGGTAGAAAGTGCTGTGGTGACAGGTAGAAAGTGCTGTGGTGACAGGTATAAACAAAATCCCGGGGGGGGGGGGGAGGCGGGGGGGGGGGGGGGGTTTTTTTAGCACTTTGCGCGGAAGAGAATTTCGCTTGAGATTCATGGACATGCAGGTTAAGTGTGTAAATCTTCCCATTCAAAAGTGAAGGATGAAATCAATCCTTTAATCAGAACAGTGGCAGAAGAAATTAGTGGTGCCAAATTGTTAGGTCATTGGCTGGAACGCTGGTGTACAGTGTGGAAGAGCTGGCACCTGAGCGGTTTGGATACTCTTTCCACCTTCTGTCAGCTCAGTGGTTGTGGGGCAGGGCTGCAGTGGTGGGGCCCTAATCTGCAGGCTCAGCTCGGTGGGGTTCCTCCAGGTAAAGGGATACACTGTGAGCTAAGGTGAATCTGCTTAGTTCTTGCCTCAGCTGTTAACACTTGGTAAAAGGAAAAACTTTACTCTAGAAGTGGCATCTGTGCTTGTATTGAACCCTGTCCATCATCTGAGAATTTGTTGGTTTCTCTTAAGTTGTCAAGACTAGGTTTGTTCTGGATATGTCAGGTAAGATTTGCTGCTCCTCGCAGACATAGTAGTGACAAAAATCGGATGCCTCCAGTGCTTGGTAAGAAACTCCGGTGCTGGGGAGAAATTCTGAGGGTCACAGGGACTCGGGCACCTGGGTCATTTAAATAGCAATTAAGACTGAATCTTCCATAGTGTTAAGAAAATGCTTAGAGAAGCCTTTCTTTTGGAACATACAATTATTTCTTAGCACTTCATGGATTTATTTTTCCTTGTGAGAGAGTATATATACATGCATGCACAGGCAGTTCATGTATATGCTTTTCTGTCTTCCGTATCCGTTCTGGTGATATTGGTAACTCATTACAAAAGCGTCTGTATTTGCTTGAGGCTGCAGTTGAAAACTGAATTACGGTAGAGACTGAAGAAAACAGAACCCTGTCGGTTAGTTACCTGTCAGTCTCTGGCACCTTCAAGGACACCTGGCAAAGCAGTGTTCCTGCCCTACCTTCTCAGGCAAGGCTGAAGTTTCCCTGGACTGCTTTCCAGATTCAGTTGCTGTCTGTTCAGCAACTTGAGGCTTTGAAAGGTATAGCTGTTCCTTCAGGTTGTTTCGTGCCTCTTTGGGTGTGGCAGGAAGATCCAAAGTGAGAGAAAGAGGCTGCTCTCCTGCTTGTTTACAAGTAGCCTCCTCCTTGAACAGCTTAAGGCATCACAAGTACCAACTAGGTGCAGTATTAGTGTTTTATCATCGGGTTCCAGGTTAATACATGGAAAAGGAGTATCGCTTCTGAAAGCAGCTGACGTGCTGACAAAGCTGACTACTTTGTATTTTAAGTGTCAAGTGTACCTGTATCAACTCTAAAAGGCCAGATTTTTTTCACATGAAGTGTGAATTTGAATTAATTTTCTTCCTTTGAATATAAGCATGAACTCGGTTGGAGAAAAAGTGTTAAGTAGTAGTTCATTTGGAGACTGAAGAATGAGTGACTTGTCTGTCCCTTCTTTACCCTAGTGACCCACAGCAGCTTAGATTAATGAATTCTACCTTTGGACTTTGCTTCTGTGCAGTACTGCTGAAACATACACTTCTAAAACAGTTCTCCCTTCTTCCCCCCCCCCCCACCCC